TTTATGCATGTTTATGTCTGCACTTTCACTTTCTGTAACTCTACAGTTGCCTCTTTCCTTTCTTGTCCTCTCTCTGGCTAATAAAACCTGCTACATTCTGATACACAGCCAAGTCTCCATGACAATTTTACAGGCTTCTTGGGTCCTCTGTTTCTTCCTCCTACTCAGCCATTCCCTCAAAAATACTCAGTGCAACATCCTCAAAACTATACATCCCCCAAAGCATGGTTTCTCCCACTTAAAACACATTTGTCTGAGCAAGACAGTTACATTCAGTTTACATCTTGTTAGAGTTATTGGTCCAAAGTCTGCTGATTACTTCACATAACCCTAACCCACAACTTTCAAGACACCCAAGGACACTTTACAACAAGGCAGATAAAAAGTCATGTTGGATGTTTTTCTTCTGCTGTGCTTCACACCTGGTTTGGTTTACACATTTTCATACCGCTTTAGTCAGTTAATTCCTTTTGTATACCAGGTGTGCCATTTTTTTTATTTGTAGAACCTTGTTGGTTTGCTCTACTTTCTTGGGTCTTTTGCTTCACTTGAGAAGAATGTGCTCACTTTAATATGAGTAAAAATTGTTCATTTTTCCACAAACCTTTTTTATTTTTAGTTTTTACAAATGTTTGGTCCATCTTTCCACACATTTGGTCTCTTCTACAAAACGTTATGGTAGAGGTATCTAGTCAAGTTATCAGTAGTTTATTCATTTTCACACATAATTTAGATCTTTGCCTTTAACTCTTTCTAGATTTAAATAGCTTTCCATTTTTCTCATCTCCCATATTTTCCATGTCTTTGGTTGTCTGTTGATGCCAGAATATTTTCTAAAATCATATGACAATGTTGAGTTGGGAAAATAAAAATTTTAGGATTTTAAGGAAACAAATTATCAGAAATAATGACATGCACAAGCTGCATGGACTATTCCTTGGTCTTTCTATCTGAATGAACTCATCCGCTAACACCTAGGTTACTGGAAAATAGTGGGTACAGTCAATTTATTAAGTTTGCTTGTCTTTCTTATGTACAAAAGCTGAAATTATTGAAACAGTAAGATGGAGGCGAAAAGGTAATGGAATATACAGAACAAGGTTTTGGTGGGGTGAGATGCTGGTGAACACTCCACAAATCATGGCTAACCAACATCAGAGTCAATGTAGTGACTTGAAATCTGACATAACCTCAGTCTTAACTGTGGTGGTCATGAACACAGAGCCTTGTCACTGGTCAACAAACAAAGAATGGTCAGAAGAGGTCAGCACACCTGATGTGTGGTCTCAGTCATCTAGTTGGCATCCAAGGCTCAGTCACATCCATCCAACCATGACCTGCTTCCACCAAGCTCTGTCTTTCCTCAAAACCACAGAAAACATGTCAAATTGAACACTTTTACGCCTCTGGTCTGTCTCAGTTATTTGTCAGAAGCTGTATTTTAGCACACATGAAGTAACATTACCCAGTCAGTTTTCCTTGAAGTCATCAACTCCGTCAGGGAATTCATTCTCACTCGCCTCACAAAATTTACATGTAAAAGAAGGGTTTGCCCAGAGAGATCTTTGCACACATAGATTTTAATGGGCCCTATATGGATTTACAGAAGGTTTAGAATGTTTGTGGGCAAACTCCTGTGGGGCCATTGTGGAAACTGCGGACAGACCCTGGTGGGACCATGTGGACTAAACCTGGTGGGCTTGCCCATGTAGGTTCCATATGGGGCCAACCTATGTGTGATGGCTGGGGGGGTTGTAGCCTAAGGGGTGAGCTGAATTTTAAGATAATGAAATTAAGAACATCAGTTAGACAAATGAGCTTTTCTAGAAGTAGAGTAAACTTGCGGAATGGGTTAGATAAGAAGCTTAGGAACTGTGCAAATATATATTATTTAAAAAAATACATACAAACTTTATTTTTTAAATAAGTATCGGGATATGATCTAAAGTGCTGTGCTGTGTTTATAAGGAGGTAAATCTGTAATGACTGTCTTTTTGAATAGGAGTGTCTTTGCATATTATCTTAGGCCAGTGATTATGTGTATACATTTTCTAAAAGAGGAGGAGGACCTAAATAATCTTTGCCTCTACCTACTCCTTTTGAACAATTGCTGTATGTTTTGTTCTATTTTATATGTGGTTCTGAGTAATTTGTTGTATATGTTTGTCATGTTTTATTTGATTTTATATATTTTTTTCAAATCTTTGTTCAAATAAAAGAAAACTAAACCAAACCAAACATACGATAACACAATTTTAATGATAAGTTCATTATTGCCCTACTTTGTTCCTAAAACTCACCCACCAAACTTTAATTATTCAACAAGCAGTGTGTGAAATCATAGTTAAAGATAAACTCCTTGTTGTTCTGTGTTTGAGAGCTCTTGAAGATAAAATCCAACCATTTCTAGCAATAAAATTCATCTTTGGGATGACGGAACAGATTCCTGTACCTTTCGCAGCCCAAAAATGCTTTTTCACTTTCTGCATTATAATAAGTGCAGACTAGATGTGAAATTAATCGCTTCTTCTCAACTGTGGAGATTGAACTCCCCTCTAGCTACTCGGAGAGACTGGGTGTTAGTGTTTACAGTCCAGGGCAGGAGAGATCCGGATTTGACACATGGATTGGGAGGAGTGGTGCATGAAAACACAAAACAGAAGCGTAGGGATGCTATCATTATGTTTTGGGTAGATTTTTTGCACGCTACACACAAAATACATCAAACTCTGTGATTTAGATTGGGCTACACAGAAAGTCACATACAAAAGCAATGTAAAGCATCTGGAAGCTTTCAGAATAAAAGTCATGTGCAGATAAACATACGTCATTTCTTCTGCAACCCATGTAGTTGATGTCATCAGAACAGAAAATAAACCACATACCTTTTGGACACATGCAGCTGTCTTTCTCCTTGCTTGTTATTGTGTGGACTTCTGAAATCATTCATGGTGTTGCAATTTTTCTGTGAGATTGTGACCTCACGAGACCAGCAGTGTGGAATGCTCTCGCTACTGTTTCGTGTCTGAAACACTCCCAATAGAGCTCCGGATGTCACGTGACTCTCAGAGAGTAGACGCCAGGTTGGCAGGCAACAAAGGTAAACAAAATGAATGGGATCGGCTTGGATTTTACTCCATTGGAGTTTACTTCACAATTTTAAACAGAAGAAATCATTTTATATAGTCAGAAATGAAATAGATTAAACATCTCCGACCCTTTCCATGCTCCTGGGACACTTTTTAAAAACGCATAAGCGAAAACCTTTACTCTCGGGATCCCACAGCTTAATTTTAGCACGGTCTCTAGCGCGTTTTACTGCAATGATCCAACGTTTGCGGCGTTATGGATTTTGGGGAATCCTGTAGACGGCTCATCCCTTATGTCATCCGTGTCTGTTCTGGCATCCTGGGGCACAACAGGAATCTACCATATTTCCCGTTTGATTGAGTTTTCTGACAATAACAAATAGCCCAACTGCTGGCTTCTGCCTGCCAAGATGGCGCCATTTCGATTTGAACTGTTGCATACCAGGAGAAGTGGCGTCAACTCCCGGAGCTCTATAGGAAGGGAACTTGCGTTTAAAAAATATTATGTTACACACCGCATTCACGCCTGGTGGAAAGGAGACTTAAAGCTCTAATAAGTGGATTTTGCATGACATATACCCTTTAAAGTATTAAGTCTCAGTATGTATTATAGAATGAAATGCTCCTTGTTTTTGCAGACTGTGAGTCCTATTGTAAACCAGTGAAGGGCAACTTGAAGATCAACATGAAGAGGTTTTGCAAAAAGGATTATGGTAAGAAACAACTTTTAAACCTTAGTTGATGCATGTGTTTTATTGGAGGGTTTGGTTTGAGTACATTTTTTTATTGTGTTCTCAGCGGTCCAAGTGAACGTGCTGGACATGGAGACAGTTGGGGACTGGGCCAAGTTCTCAGTTAGTGTGGTGTCAGTGTACAAAAGCCGAGGGGAACCCCTGAAGAGAGGTGACAACATCCTGTGGGTGCATATGAAAGACCTGGCCTGCAAATGCCCCAAAATCCAGATGAGCAAAAGATTCTTGGTAATGGGTGGCATTGAAGGAGGAACAGGTTCAGTTGGGGGAGGAGGAGTCGGGCCTGGAGGCGGGGCTTCCAATTCTGGGACGGAGCGCGTTGGCTTGGTGGCTGACAAGAACAGCCTGGTGATCCAATGGAGGGACCCTTGGAAGTTACGTCTGAGGAGGTTCCAACGCAAGGAGAAGAATGGGAAATGTGGCAAAGCGTGATTGGAAAGCAGCACTCGTCACTACCTCTCCTTTTACCAAACACTTCCATAAACTCTGACAGTTTTCCTTATCTGAATCATTTCTCCACCTCTAATGTGGGAACACTGCACAGTATAAAAAAACTGCATGTACCCTACCTGTTTTAAGGACCACATTTTGTGTATATGTATGATGATTTTCCTTTTGACTGTTCAAGGTTCATCTTTGTTATGCCACTTATTTTGTCTGATTGGTTTGCCTTAAAAAGGGACCATAAAAAAGGGTTTGAATAATAGACAAGAGCAGCCTCCATTCCCTGAATTCATGACTCGTCCACTTTCTACAACCTCTTCGACCTCCAACTGTTAAGACTTTCAACCTTCAATGTTCTGAAAGAAAGATTTTATTTCACCTTGATTGTCACCTATGAATTGACTGATTTCAACAAGACAAGCTGCTCACCGCCTTGTGTTTTATAATTGAAATCTACTCAGCTTTGATCAGGACTAGCAGACATCTAACTGACACATGAGATGGGCCTACTTGCTCCAAATCTTCCTAGTGGCATCTTCAACTCATCCCAACAAGATTCAAGGGCTCCCTTTGCATGGATAAACCTCCCCTTATCACTGTTGCTGCCACAAGACAGTCCCCATGTGGGATCTTTTATCTATAAACATGGGATCCCATTGCTCGTGATACTTTTTATGTTTCATACGGCTACTTGTGATCATGTGCATTCATTTTTCAACCAAATCTGCATTTGGGATCTGTATAACTGAAAGCATAATATACCCTTTTTTGTGTATGTGAGTCAAATTGTAGACATGTGGGGCTGTGCCTCTTCACCACCGCTTCCTTTAATGAAGTCATGACTCATTGCATGTCACGACTTTCTGGACAAAAGATTAAGTGGCATGGACAAATGGCTGGAGTTTAAAAACAATACAGCATTCCCAGAGACCTTTTTGCCTAATGGATAATGTCTTCCGCTGGTTACCGTCTTCCAGATGTTGCTGCGTGACCAACATCATTCTTTGTATTTAACATGTATCTGTAGACTGACAGGAGTTTTCTTGCCAAAATAAGAAGGGAGAGTTCCATTTATGCAGTAAATAGAGAGGAGGGGAGAGGTAAACTCACGGCTGTGTTGTTCTCCAGTATACTTTGACAAAATGAATGAGACTGGGAACGTTTTGGCCCTTGCTGATTGTATTATGACATGAGGGGATCGTGTTCCACCTCTCATGCGTTTTGTTTTGTTTGCATGTTTGTGGTTTTTTGCTGGTCCATCAAAACCTTACAGTTAGCAGAGAAGGGAATAAACCAATGTGAAGATTTGAGGTCCCAAGGAAAGTTTCCCAAATCATCCACCACTTTTTCACCCTAAAGCATAAACCTGCCATTGTTTTTGCCAAGTAAGTATAATCAGATTTTATTCAATTAGGAGACTATGAAAAAAATTCAAACCACCAAGAGACTCGCCTGGCTGTTCTCCAGTCTGTTACTACAATCATTAAAGGACATTAAGATGTGTACAGGAATAGATAAAGATGTCCCATTTTTATTTTGATAATTTGTTTGGCTTGCCAGTTTTCTGAAAGGGTTTACACTTTGCTTTCATCTGTGTGTCAGCCACCAGACTCCTCAAATGATCTGTTTAACTTGTAGTGCATGTTGTGGATTTCATGTTAGAGTTATGTGACAGCACGGGAGGGCCTCTGCCAGACCCCTCGGTGCTGCTTTGGTGATGCGCTGTAGCTCTTTTGAGAATATAAGTAAAGACACCAAATACTGTCCCCATGCTCTGATTAAATAAGTGATGCACCAACATAAACATTTTGGGCCGATACCGATATCTGATGTTAAAATCACTGTAATGGACAATAACCGATATTTGCCGATACTGATTTACTGACATTAATGCTTCTAAAATCAGCAGATTTTGTATGGAAAGAAAATTATTAAAGCTGAATTTACATTATTGTGTACAGACACCACACACATTTACTCCTCTGAGATAATTACAATCATTATCACATGACTAAACAAACACACTTCACCCCCTCTGACAAAGATAAACAAAAGGAAACAAGCTGGAAAAAATATTGGTTTGTTAAAATTGGCCCAGTTTTATTTATCGGACCGATACGATATGTTAAAAATTACTGACATTGGCCAATACACATATTGATGCCGATATATCGTGCATCCCTAGATTACCATAATTTCCGGACTATAGAGCGCACCTCAATATAAGCCGCACCAGGCTAAAAGCCGCAGATATCTACCAGATATCTACTGAATTGAAAACGTAGTTTAACTGAACGTAACTGAACTGATCAGTATCAAACAAAACAGAAAAGTTATTAATTAGTTTATTCATCGTCCTCCTGCGTACTGAAACCACTGAAATCATCTTCTTCTTCAGTGTCGGAGTTGATCAGCCTCAGAAGAGCTTCGTCACAAACCTTTTCTGTGGTGATGTCAGTGTCGCTGTCCGTGTTGCTGTCATCATCCCGGGGTGAAGCTGGGAAAACAAGCAGCGCCGTTTTCCTGTGAAAAAAATCCTCCTGGGCGCCTTCCGTAGCACTCCTTTAACCATTCCTTCATTAGACTTTCCAGCATCCATCCTTTCTGGTTGACTAAAGCCGCACCTCATTATAAGCCGCATGGTTCAAAGCGTGGGAAAAAGTAACAGCTTATAGTCCGGAAAATATGGTTAATCATTGTTGTTTTTTTTTAAATAAGAACACGAATGGCATGATGGTTCTGTTAAACTGGTGAGATTTTTCACAACAGTGTGCATTTTTATGATTCAACAAATCACAAACAAAAATGGTGAACTTGGATGTTTCCAAAAAATATATTTAAAATCTTGACAGAAACTTTCCAAGGATATTGAAATAAGACAAAAATGTTGAATTAAAGTTAATTTTGTCACAGTAGCAAGTAACAGCCTTCTCACCCTGATATTTGACTCCTCATGATGGATCGGCCACTGCAGCACACTACAGTCTTCTTAAACAATTTACTTTGAGTTTCACATTTGCTCCATTGGCTCCAAGGTCTCCCTCATTTGAAGTGCCCACCCTGAATGCTGGAACGTTAGAATTCATTTTGCTCTCACTGAAGCTATTTAGTGAGTCTCACAGGGAGCGTTGTCCTGTTGTTTTACATTAACATGCCTGGGAGCTTGGCAGCAGAAGTGAGGTTTTACTTCATTTTTAAACACCCCCCCCCCCCCCCCCCCCTCACAGCATTTATAGCATTCACAGGTGCATGTTTCTGTGTGTTTAATTAACCTCCTTGAGCAAACAAGTGATATGCACATAAACTGAACTTTCAGAGGTGTGAGAACTGTAGTTTGAAAGCTTTGACGTATGGTTTGTCTAGTGGAGTCTGGTGAAATATGCACGTGTGTTTTTGTTTTTTACTACCACATTCTGATTGTGTATTAAGTCATGATGAACTGTCTTGTAAATATGTACTGAATTGCCTCTGGCATGTATGTTGTCTTTTGTAAAGCGTTGCCTTGGATGACTCATGTATGGATGTACAAACCAGATTATATATGGATGTAGAAACCAGGAACATATGCTTTTGTGATTATGACCAGAGGACGTGGTTCAAATATTGCACAGAATGACCCCCCCCCCCCCCCCCCCCCCCCCCCCACCCATTATTTTTGTTTTATGTCGTTTCCAGACAACAAACTGTAAATTACTTTCAGTTGCGCTGAATGTGACTGATTGGACCCTTCCCATAGAGGTTCGGATGGAAATTGACCATGTTGTGCTATATTAATGTCCTTGGGATGATGGTGGTTTCACACAAAAAAAAAAAAATCCACCTACTTTTTCCTTCGGGGGCAAAAAGGGTTCTCCTATCAGTCCAGTTCTGCTTTCCACTTTTATTATATCAAAGTCTTCCTTGTACATTTTTCTCCGAGGCAATGAACCACTGACTTTTTCATTTAAATGGTAAAAAATAAATTATTAGCTAATGAAATATGCTTGTGTTGATCATCTGTCTCTTTAAAGCTGTATATGTGTGCGCGCATGTGCGTGTGTATGTGTTTCCTGTTGGAAACTATGTGAATGTATTAAGTTTCCAGGAGCTAGAAGAGGGGTTCTGGGGGAACGTGTTGAGCAGCGTGACTTCCCTCTCTTATAATCTTTGTAGGAACTAAACTTGTGTAGATAAACAATGAGGTACACACACACATTTTAATGTGTACCTGATCCTGGAGGAAATCCATATCCCAAATCAGATCAAGCAGGAAACTCCTTCTCATGTTTTCTTCTCCCTTACCTACAGTTTCCTCTTTCCTTTTGTGCCCACAGTCTGCAGGCTCCATCCATTCCCCTCAAGGTAAATTACAGGAAAGCAACATTTTATCATCATTGTAGGAATCACTTCAAGTGCTTATGATTTAGACAGTTTCAGTTACAGTTTGAGTAATTCCCAGACCTGCATCTTCAGTGATCTGGATATGTATAGTTGTCAATGTTCACTGAAGCTAAAAACATTTTTGAGAAATTCAACTCGACTTTTACTTATAAAGATCTTTTCAGACAAATTCATGTCACCAAAGTGCTGAATATCCATGCATAAACAGACCGTACATAAGGTATGGAACTAGGATTGGGACAATATTACATGTAACTTGTACCAGGCTTTGTAACCTGTAACATGTTTTGTAACTGTAACTTTCATTTAGTAGCATGTAATTCTTGTTTAGTAACATTTGGTACATGTTACGGCTGCCAGCCTGGCCAGTAGGATGGATGAGCCAGGATCACCCAGCCCTGGTGATCAAGCCTGACACCGCCCCTCCTCCTCCTCTCTTCCAGGCTGCTGAGGAGCACAGCTGAGCTGAATCCTGCTGATGACCCTACACCTGGGATAAAAAGGCTGTGCCTTCAGCAGTCTGGGAGGCAGCAGTGCAGGGGTTCTGCTGTCCTCCAGGCCTCAGTTTGGTTTCGACCCATTTGTTTGAGATGAGTTAACTTTAAGGTTTTAACTCTGAGTTATGAGCTTTTAAAGGGTGAAGCTCTTGGACGATCCAGAGGGATCTTTTGATGTTGTTGGTTAAAAAGGTTAACTTGGTTTGATGCAATTTTATTGACTCCAGTTTAAAACACCTTCTGTGTTGGTAAAACTTTTAATATAAGTTTTAACCAGGTGTTTTTATAGTTGGTAATTGGTGTAATGTTAACTTTTTTGAGGTTTTTTTTTTGTTTGTTTTGCATTATCTTTATAATACTCACCATCTGTTTGCTCTTGTTTCTAGAACCTTTTACAACAATTAAACCATTTTAACTCCACTGTCGTATTTCTTATGTTACCCCCTCCTTCGCATTTCAACATCTCCTGTCGGAGACGTAACAGTACTTAACATGAAACTTTTTATTTTATAACTTGCAGAAAGAAATCAATGTACAAGTTTCAAATAACAACTCTCAAAACACACATATCAGTCTACAGTTACAAAACTCTAGTCTACAAGTACAAAACATTTTGTCCAAATTCTAGCTTGACCATCAAACTTGTTCAAAGTTAAATACAACTGGCAATCATTGGCATATAAATTCATTCACCATTCTTGCCCAAGATGTCACCCAATGGTAGAATGCACACAGAGAACAACAATGGTCCCAATATCGACCCTTGCCTCCTTGACAGATGTTCAAATTTGGATGAGAATGAACCCATTTTTACACACATCCTGTTTGAAAGACATCACCTAAACCAATTTAATGCTGCGCCACAAACCCACATAGTGTCAATTTGTAAAGAACAAAATGCTGTTTTTGTAAAATTTTTAAATTGCATCTACTAAGTAGGTTTTCCAAGTGAATATAAGGAGATATAGTTGAGGTAAAGAAGGTTAAGAAATGTATGTCATATTTTATGCATTTCTTAGAAAAGTGCACACACACACACACACACACGTGTGTGTATATATATATATACGTGTGTGTGTGTGTACATATATAGTAATGTCCAGCAATGGTCAGTTTTTAGGTACAGTTTGACCCTTCAACATCTGGTCGAAATGGAGACACGAGACTGCATGTGTTTCCTTAAATCGGCTTGCCTTCATCCCATCAGCTGGAGCTCAGAGCCTCTCTGCAGCTCTGAACACATGATAACGTATTGTCAACAATGATGTTCCCTGCTCAAGGCTTCAAGGCTTCCCATATCGTCCTACAGGATTCTTCATGCCTCTGAGTAAGGAATACTCACAGCTCGGATTAGCTGCTAAATCAAAGAATGATTTCTTAAATTAAATATGAACATTTAAAACTTATAAGTTAAATAATCATTAAATAAACATTTGTGTATTGTTACTTATAATAATTATAATATAATGAAATGCTTTAATTAATCTGTGCTTGAATGACTGAAGTTTGAAATGAATGTTATGATTACATTGATCAGTAATGTTGATATGACAAGGCCATCACCATCCACACCCACACAAGGACAAAGTAAAGTTAAGTGACACATAGATATTTCTTTATCCCAGTTCAGACAAATCGGGTTAATGAAACCTCTTTGGCCCACCAGCAACAAAGGGGAGCATAATAGAAAGAAAAGGCCTCAGTAAGCTGAAAAATGCCTTTGTTTATGCTTGTTGTTATTGTCCTTACAGAAGCAAATACAAACCAAAAATAAATCTTAATCAAAAAGCAACACACAACTTTCACATTTCTATTATGATAACTGTTTACTTAAATAGGGGTAAAAAAAAAAATCAAAGAGCCAGAAAATGTACTAATCAGTTCATATGTTTTCTTTTCCTGCTCCTCATTGATAAATGCGATCGTATCAGTAAAGTTGTTATGTAAAGAAAGCTAACCTGTGTTTATACAGGAACTCTTTTCTATACTAGTGTAAGATTCAAAGTTTCCTTGCGTGTTAATGCAACCACCTCTTTCAAGTTGCTTGTGAGTGGACTGGTGCTAAAGACATGAACACCATGACAGACTGAGCCAAATAGTGCTCATTCCTCCCCCTCTTTACACACCAACAAGCATCCATAACACACACTCACACACCAAGCAGCAGGCCTGGGGGCTTTACCATTGGTTCTTTCATACACTGCCAAAGTGGCTTCATAGGCTTTAAATAGAGCCTCATTACCACTCTGGTTCAAAGATCTACAACAAGGTTTTCCACCTTCTTTAAGACCTGTTTTAAAAAAAATCTTCCATTTTCCTTCATAAGCTTTTCACCACAGTCACAACTTTTCTACTCACATTCTGTCTTTTCCCTTGTGTCATCTTCTTGAGTGTGTTTCATTAACACTAATAGATCTTTGAGAGTGTGTGTGGGTCACTAAACCCCCCCCCCCACTGAAAACCACTAAGAAACATGGCAAGAAATCTGTGCAGCGCTAGATCATAAATATTCAGTGGTGCAGATCTGATCTCTCTTTGCAGTTTGTCTTTTTTTGTGTGTGAGTGAAACCAGCTGTCTTTCCGAAGAGCCACTGCTTCCCCAGAAACTGACAACAAGCGTGACAATGACCACACCTCCACTCATCTACAAATCTGCCATCTCTCCATTTACTGATGATTTCATTTCTCATTTACTTATAAAAAAGCACACCATCTTTTTGAATAGAAAGAAACTTGCATACTTTAGCTTTAGCAGCAGAGAGTGAGGTAGTGCCAACTCAGCGACTTTGTCGCTGTTCCTAACGCCTAGTGACAAAGCTAGCTACATTTCTGAGGACCCTTAGCTACTTTCTTCTAGATATTTCCTGCAAATTAGCAACAAAATAGCCATTTTCGCTCCAAACCGTTCTTTGAACGTTGTTTCAGCTATCATCAAGGATATAAATGTTACAGATACAAAAGACTTCACTAGCTCTGTAGCTCACCTAGTAAGACGTTGGACTCTCGTGTAGAAGAGCCGGGTTTGATTCTGGTTGTGAACATAATTTATTTAGTATTTATTTTTTACATTAATGGTATGTTTTTTACAGTAAGATGCCCAAATTTTTATTTGAGACTCGTCGAACGGCATTGAATTCTCAGATAAAAAAGATGTGGGTTCAACTTTCATTTCGGAACAATTTTTCAAGCAAGGGAAGGGAATGATCTGAGCATGCAGGAGGACTGACCCATCTTAAACCTTTGTCGGCTGTGCTGAAGAGAAAGGTACAGAACCAAATTATTTAATTAATTAGCTGCGTGTTCTCCTGTCCTCTGGGCCACACACACACACACACACA